AGCAGTTAAGGAAAGTGAGTTCTATAGACCCATACGGAGGCTTTTCTGTAACACTTTCAATTACATAACCAAGAAAGTAGAGGATGAAAGCCTGTAGAAAAATCCTGCTGTGATCAGCAAGGTCAGAGCTAGCACGATTCTGAACTTTGTGAAGAAGATTATTCAGTTCCAGTTTGCCTATCAAAATTTCACTGATCTGTAACATTTTCTCTTCAAACATTTGCCCTTTTGCTAAGTTTGTGAGCAAAATCATTTCTTCTCCCAGCCTTCTCCCCCCTCACTGCAAGAATGACATTGAGGCCCTGGAACGTGTTCAAAGGAGGGCAACAAAGCTGGTGAGGGGTCTGGAACACAGGGCTGATGAGGAGAGGCTGAAGGAGCTGGGAACGTTCAGCCTGGAGAAGAGGAGGCTCAGGGGAGACCTCATTGCTCTCTATAACTTCCTGAAGGGAGGTTGCAGTGAGCTGGGGGTCAGCCTCTTCTCTCGTGTCATCAGTGATAGGACCAGGGGGAATGGCTTCAAGCTACGGCAGGGGAGATTCAGGCTGGACATGAGGAAGTATTACTTTTCAGAAAGGGTGGTCAGGCACTGGAATGGATGCCCAGGGAGGTGGTGGAGGCACCGAGCCTGGGGGTGTTCAAGGAAAGGCTGGATGTTGTGTTGAGGGACATGGTTTAGTGGGAGCTATTGGTGATAGGTGAATGGTTGGACTGGGTGAGCTTTTAGGTCTGTTCCAACCTTGGTGATTCTATGATTCTATGATTATTATAAATAATAAATTTAACATCTTGATTTGTCATTAAGAATAATTAAACTTCATTTACAAATGAGTTAAAATATGGAACTGTAATACTTGTACTTAATTTTTGTGGCATTTCATTAAAATGATTATTAAATATTTAACAATATGTTTTAAGCATTCTTCCCTCTTTTCAATGAAATATAAGTGAAGATTACATAAAGCGTAAAGAGGAGCAATTTTTGAAGTAAAACATTGATTTAAAAATAGCTTCCCCAAAAGTCACTGTGTGATGAAACACTCATCACAGCAAGAACTATACAGCAAGAACATTTTCTTTTATAATAATCAAATAACAAGGAATCTAAAAGAACTCCTCAGCAGAAAAAGAATAAGCCTTATTTGTCTGGCACAAGGTTCTCAGTATTTTCCTGAGTGCCTCATTCCCTCAGAGATATTGTAGCAATAAAAGCACTGCCATGTCAAGCGGGTAACGTTCAACCTTCTCTACCAGACAAAAGCCTTTCAACACCCCATATATATCACTCCTAAAATTTCTCAGGCAGTTTAAGCAGGATCAGCACACAAGTTGAATACTCTGGCACTGCAGAAAGAAAAGTATCTCGCCTTAGGCCTCTTCAAGAAACAAACTTCTCTTTTTTAAAACACCTTGTGGAAATCAGTGCTGTAGACATCCTTATTAATTTAGTAAATCTGATAGAAACGTTGAAAAAAATGTAACCGACAGGTGAAATCGACAAACTTTGCAGCACAACAATGTAATTCAGAATGCCATGGTAATCTCCGGATCTTACCAAAGCTTGTGAATTCAAAAGACACTTTTTGAAGAGGTTCTGGACTAACAGCACTAACTCAGCTATAACAGATATTACTGAAAACATCATGTAGCACCAACTAAGAGAGTGGGAAGGAAACACTAAGTTTTGGCACGTCCTAAAAGATGGTTTGCATGAAGAGCACAAGCAAGGACAGGTAGCCTGGGGGGAATACAGAGAAATTGTCCAAGCAGCCAGGAAAGTGAAATCTCTGTAGAAATAGATCTGGACAGGGATGTGGAAGGCGACATGAAATGCTTATCAGTAAATGTCAGTGCGATGAACGGAAGAGCAGGGAGAAGGTGAGCCCTCTTCAGAAGGGAGATCTGACTGGTCAGGACATGGAGAAGGCTGAGGAACTCAGCAAATTTTTTTGCCTTGGTTTTCACCAGCAAATGCTCTAGCCACACTGTAGTATGCTAAAGCAGGGACTGGGGAAAAAAATGAAAAACTATCCACTGTAGAAGATCAGGTTTAAGACCACCTAAGGAACTGGAAAATGCACAAGTCCATGGAATCTGATGAGATGAATTCACGTATCCCAAAAGTACAGCAGATGTCTTTGCCTATGTTATTACCTCAAAGAGTGACAAAAATTTAATACATGAAGTTAACAAGGTAATATTGCTGCTTGGAAGCAGTGCTTCTAATAATAGGAAAGTCGGAGAGTTTCAACTAGATAACTTTCCACAGTAATCTATTCTGCTATACCAGCACATCTCAGGCCCAAAGGTGCTTATAAATCTTTCATTTATCTTGGAGGTATGCAGTCTCCTCTTTACTGTCTCTTGAACATAACCTTTGCCACTCCATTAGCTCGCATGCTTAAAACTAATTTTCATGTGCAGATGTCTTGAGAATCATCTCTGGAATATCTACAATCTACACAACAAATACAGCTAAGTACATCCAATCAGCTCATTTTTTTTGAAGAGTTCTCTACAATCCATAAAAAATATTTCAATTATTTTTTAGAAGATGTCTCCAGCTGCCTGTTTTTTTTTCAATTAAAAAAAAGTAAAAATCAGAGAATAGTGAAATTACCAAATCTTTAAAGAATAGCACAAGCACCACCATACACACGGAGAAAGCGAAAAAGGGAAATTATTGAGATGAAGTTTGGTCAATGTTTAACCACATAACAACAATCACGAACAGCTGATATATCAGAAATTAATACAAGTAGATAATGCAAACTGATAGCTTTGGTGAAACATTGTTTTCTCATGTAATATTTTACCAAAGCACATAGCTGTGTAGACCAGTTCTTTGGGAAAACTTGGAAAAACAGACAATGAAAATCAATATGCAAGTTATAGGTTTTAGTGAAGGAGTATCACCTTGTGCTAAAGAAGTTAACAGACTAAGAGACCAGCAGACAAGACTGCCTGTGAATACGCTGCTCATACACTTATCTTACTACACCATATAAAGGTCAAAGACTGCAGGAAGAAAACCTCATTAGAAGGAAAGCACAAAGCAACTGATTTCTCCTTGAGCTTAATAACCTGTGGTGACAGATATCTATGCCTGCAGATCTGTGTCCTGGCTCAGGACAAGTAGGTGGTGAATTGCTTCATCTAGCTTACAAGACTACATCTGCAGAGCCTATGTTTCCTGTTATGGCTCTGTATAATCAATGAATATTAAGATGTTACAATTACAAAATAAAGTAGAGAGTTGGACGAAGCAGATTATGATAACAAAAAGAGAACAGATAGGAAGCTTACCCATATCCTGGGCTCACTCACAAAACACCAGCAGAGCAGATCTCCAGAATAGAACCTTCCCCCCTGGTAGCCAGCTCTTCAATAGGTCTAGGAGGCAGCACAGCTGAATTGCCTTCACCTGTGCTCCTCTGGCTGACTCATGGCTCACCTCAGGAGATCAATCAGAGGTTCAGGCCGTGACTCAGCTGTTCCCATACACAACCAGTACTATATTCAGAGAGGCTTTGCCCACTAAGATATTAAGATACCTTTCAAAATGAGTGCCGGGAACTGTGGGAGGAATAATATGGGTATGAGGGCAGATATCAATACATTTACTAACTCAACCATCATATCCAGTTTCATCTAATCTGAAGGGTAGATTCATCTATTTTTCATGTAATATTCATCTAATATTTCATCTAAAACAAAGGCACATCTTCAAGTATCCATAAAATTAAGATATCACTTTTTCCACAGCTTTCAACAGTGTGTGTAAAGCCCCAGAAATGCTGAACTATCAATGCTGACATACTGCCAAATGTTCACATGTAGTTGAAACTAACGTACCTGTCTTTGTCTGAAAATATTTCTTTCAACTTCTTGTATGTAACATTTTATTAAACCAAAATGATTAGCTGTAGTCTGAGATTATTTGATATGAATAGCAAGCCTCTACAAATAAGGTTTTGTTAATTAACTGCAGCTGCAGATCTAGATAGTTTAAACTTTTCCTTTCACTGTGTACTACTCTGCTTGTTTAAAAAGACACAGATGGATGTATTTAAATGTAACTAGATGCTAGGAAGAACATTCTCTATATCATTCATTACACAGTACTGGCTTTCTAAAAAGCTTGAAATTTTCTTTTTACATTACACAAGACTGTTTTTCTTACCCTTTTCAGCGTTTAATGATTAAGAAACTTTATCAAATCCTGAATTCAATCATGTTACTGAAGTTTAGTGGGGCTCTATTCTTTCTACCATGCTAAGCTTTCCACAACGAAGAGCAGCAAACTGACCAACTCCAAGTCAAAAATTCAATCTGACTCCAACTCCTGAACAGACAATAATCTCACAATTCAACTAACAGTAAGCTTCATGCCCCCTACCTACATATTGTCTTCCCCAAATCAAGCCACAACAGTGCATTAACATTTTGCCACACCAAGACATACATAAATAGAGGACCTGGAATTGTTTGCTACAAAAAATAAAATACGATACAATAAAAGAAATCTGCATTCTGATCCTGAATAACTTTTTCATATGTTTGCTCCTTATATTTACTTAATCCAATGCAAGAAAAAGAAAAAAAAAAAAAAAAAAAGGAAAACAAAGAAGCCTAAAAGAAAAAAGTTACACCACATAATGTGCAGCTTTGAAGACCTCTTGTTTCATACAAGCAGTGATGAATGCATAGCAGCAGGACATTATCACAATCATTAGATTGGTTCGGTACTAGTATGGTTGGTATTTGCTTAAATGCAGATGATCATCAGCTTGTGTTTTTTAAATATGTACACCCTCCAGCTTAACAGCCCATTAAAAAAATCAAATATTAAACAGTCTAATCAAATTATGCATGCATAATTACTTCTAAAATCCACTGCTTATATGTTGTTACATAACTAATTATAGTATACTTATGGTTTACAGTCAGTCATGAACACTACTGAAAAAGTCTATAGGATTAACTTTTAAAGTATTTACCTGTGTGTAAGCCTTCGGTGGCTAATGCAAACAGCAGTTTGTTGATCCTGTGCAACACAGACCTTATGACGACTGCATTTCATCTTTAAACACGGGTCTTTAGCTGGATCTAAAGCTAAAAACAAGTTTAGAAAATTGTTAACGATTACCTCGAAGCAGGCACTTAAATAAAGAAAAGAAAACACACCGCACACAAAACCCACCAAGTATGGGGGGAGGGTTGGCCTGTTGTTTTTACAGCTCACCGAAATGAAAGGCTCTGATTTCCATCAGCATGAAAGGCAGGATATTCAATAATAAGGTCAAAGAAAGTTAGTTGTGTGAAGTTCCTTACCAAGGAAAGTGGATCGTCACAAAACACGTGTATTCATGTATGCTTTCACATGTTACCACCATCACTTATTTATAAAAACACTGAGTGCCCCATCCAACTCTCTCCTGGTCAGCATTCGTAACAAAGGCAATTGCAAGTAAAACACTCTTACATTTATCATCCTCAGTAGATCCTGATGGTTTATTAATTGCCACACATGTGCACACACATCACTTTTAATGAGCTGACAATAATCCTCATACACCAATCATAGTGCTTATAAAATCTGCAACGTTCCCATTGTACAGATGGGGAATGAGCAGCGAGCCCAAAGCCACACTGGGCATCAGTCAAAAAAGGCATTAGAAGGCTGATTCCCTCTTCCCATTTGTCTCCTTCTACAAAGATTTCTTCATTTATGACGTTCAGTGTGTTTGATGAAACTCATCTCAAAATGACATTAATGCCCACAGTTTCAGATAGAGAACAATCACACCAGGACGGGCGCGAGATCTTAGCCATTTTTCTTGGCCTCCAACCTGCTGTTCTCAGTGAATAATCCTGGTTTCTTAAACGAATACCTTTCAAACTAGTAACAAAACAGATAAATATCACTGTCAGCAAATGATAATTTCATTGACTGTTATTAAATTGTGACAGGACATGAGCATCCCAGAAATCCAGGCAACAAAAGCAAAAATCATCACCAAAAGCAATTACCAATTACTGTAACATTTGCAACCTATTCCAGATGATTCAGAAAAACAGTTTCAAATCCAGATAGTTCATGCATTGATCCTAATTTCATCTTCTAAGTTTCAAGTAAAGAGTTGTAAATCAGGACAGTGTAATCTGTATCAAGTAAACAGCACACCAACTAGAATGTTACACCTGAATTCTATGCTGCATTTGCAGAACACGATTTTACTACTATCTTCTAAAAGACTGCTAACCATGAGAGTAAATCTGATAAATGCGTTCTGTAGGCAAATTTGTGTCTTTATATGCGCATAGGCTTGGGCATCTTTGCATTTAATTCTTTTTTCCTGATGGCTAGGAACCTCAATTTTTTGTTGTGCTCCTCTTGGCATACGCACCCAGTAACAGCTCACTAATTACAATTTTGTTGATAAATAAAAACATAGGTTTCCAAGTATCTTTCATGCTTTCACACCAGTAACAGTTGCAGGGAAAGGGCTACTTTTCTGTTGGTAAATCAACCAATGTCGTTAAATAAATATAGGAAACAAATACATTGTAGCTACTTTTTTGAAAGCACTTCTATTACAAGATGTTGTCTAGAATGTCTAGTAACACACATCCTAAAAACAAATTCATTTCTGGAACACTACCAACAATTGGCAGGGACATGGAACCACATTCTACATATATTCTGCATTTGAAAAATGTAAGTAACTTCAAGTTAAAGTAGTTCACCTTCAGGTCCTTTGAAACAAGCTCCTCCTACCATCTATGGAAATACATATGTACACATACAGATATCAGATTGTATCAGACATATAATCAGAGAATGAATACTTTATTTTGAAGAATACATAATTAAAATGTTTAAATCTTTTTTCCTTAACTTTCTCCTTTTGTATGTTTTTATACATTGTTCCATTTTTAACAGAAATGTATTTCTGCATACACGGATAGCTCAGAAATTAATGCTGCTGAAAGTAACATTTGGTCTCTGTAAACTTTTAGCAAATGCAGATGAATGTCAATGTGTTCCTTTTTTTTCCCCATGTGGAAGAATTCAATGACACAGCTTTGCCTTATACACACTTCCACATCAAACATCATTTTGTCAGACTGCCCCTGTGCTGCCATCCGTCTCACAGCAACAAAACGAACGGAACATTGGTGGGGAGATTCAGCCTCTTTGGCCATAACATCGACATCCAGCTCTGGTGTCGTGGGCCAACATAAAATCACAGGCATTGCTTTCAGCCCTCATATTTTTCTAATGTTTCTTCATGACTTTTTACCTTTAGAACTCCATCACACACCTCAACTAGATGTATAAATAATACAGTAGAAGTCTTTCACTCCCTCCCTCTTCTTCCCTCCCCCCTCCTTCCACCCCCCCCCCCCATTCCAGTTTAAAGCTTTTCATGCTCTGGAGGAACTACACTCTCCTTACACCTTAGAGACATATCTGACTGACTCCTGTTTCCATGCAAAGTATTATTGATACCGTGTGAGTCTATAACTCAAACAAGCTAATTGAAGAAAGATACAGAATAGAGTCTAATTCTTCACTGTATCTTCTGGTAAACATTGATCAAAAATGCTGGCATTGCTCCCACTTTGAGCGTGCAGTCTTTCATTGGCAACAAATCACACTGCTATCATTTTCTGCTAAAACAGACACCTACAAAACAGTACTACGTTCACACTGGAAACCGGCCCACAAGATATCATTTATCAGTGCCTATAATATATCAGCTGACTTCCAAGGAAGTCAGATTCAACCAATTTCTAAAGACACAGGTCTGACTGACCTTAGCTTTGTTAATTTGATAATACCCAATTCCATTTAGCTCCTAATAAATAGAAAAAAAGTGCTTGCCATGTGTTATTTAGGCCAGGCTGATGGGGCTGTGAGCACCGTGGTCCCTGCCTATAGCAGGAAGGTTGGAATTAGATGATCTTAAAGTGCCCTTCCAACCCAAACCATTCTGTGATGTTACATACATATTTAATATGCATTTCCCTAACGTAACACTAAATGTAGTCTTACTTAAATTTCACTAAGTAGAAAAATTGAAATAGGGGTTACAGAAAGAATTACTAAATAAAAAAATGATTTGTATCATCTAATCTTGCTCTAAGAACTCGCATTATTAATTAAAAATAATTTGCACATTTGGAATGGAATTAGGCTCGCTTGGTGACTTTTTACAGACGGATATGGATTTGTTATCCTCACATCCTGAGGAAGCAATTAATACTCATAAAAATTGATTCAATTATTACTAATGGATCTATTTATTTTTCAGATTTGGAACAGCAATGCAGGAAAGCTCATAAGCTCTTCTATAAGTCAATTTACAGCTAGCACTGCCAGAAACTGACATTAGCCAGATCATTTTTACTGGGAATACAAAAGAAAATCGAGTGAAAGCAAGACAACACAGTAATCCTCTTGACAGAAGCTCTGTGGTAGAAATCACAGTAAAGGACCATTATTTTCCAATCAGACAGATGGAGCTTTCATACCCAGCAAAAACAAATAGGGAAGAAAGGTTAAAGGGCAGAGTTTTCACATTTGAATTCTACTTTTCCCCTCTAAAGTTCTAGATTCATTTCTGAGGGGTAGGAAAAAAAAACCTGCACTTTTTGATCAACTACATCCGCCAAAACCTAAGACATATTTTGAGCATCCACTGAGTGGTTTAATTCCTCTAGTTTAAGAGGTAGGGGAGAAAACTGTAAATCAACTAGAATACCAATAATTAATCACATGTCTAAGCTACAACCCTAAGCAAACAAACACCTGAACTGAGCTATTCATATTACTTACAAACACCTGAACTTATATTTGTATTACTTGCTTTAATAAACTACAAATTCTTGAAGAAACCTAATCAGTGCTTTTACTTCCAGTAAAAGAGGTGGTCTGTGGGGGCAGGACAAGGTGAAACAGACATAAATCAGAGCATAGGCAGATCTGCACCAATACGTGAAATAACTTCTTCAAGGTGAGGGTGATGGAGCACTGGAACAGGCTGCCCAGAGAGGTTGTGGATTCTCCTTCTCTGCAGATGTGTTCAAGACCCATCTGGACGCCCACCTGTGCAGCCACCCTCCAAGAGAGAACCCAGTCTTGATATGCAATATACCTGAGAGTAATCATGTTTCCATATGAAGAGGAACCACTGGACATAAACAGTCTCAGATTCATGAAATAAACTTAAGAAAATAATAAGAAACAGTCTTCCTCAGTAACTTGATAGGAACGGTCTGAAAAGAGGAACCCAGATTTTCTGTTTCCTCTTCCTGGGATTGCACTTTGCATCATACACTAGGTAACATGAAAAGCAGAATGGGCAGCTATAGCTGAACCTTCAATGCCAAGAAACTTACTATGTATTTTTTTCATTTGATCCAATGAATGTGCAACTTCAGTAAGAAGAGTAGAGAGAAGGTGTTTCTGTTGGTGGTTAAGTAATTAAGAGCTTGGATTAGAACCTCTGGAGGTTACAAATACTTTAGAAGTTTCAGCTCATGAACAAATGATTCAATAAGTAGTTGTCAGCATGTATGAAGGTTGCATCCACTCAAGAAGCATCTTCTCATAAGAGTGCTCAGGAAAACTCCAGCCTGATTAAGCAGGCTCAACTGTGTAGAACCTTTCATCAGGAATATGCTCAGGTGCACTACTGTTTATGGCATTCTATACCACTAAGCTCAGTTTAGCATTGAGAACTGAGACGCTCTGAAGCATCTCTGTCTTTAGAAAGGCTTTAAAGACAAATCTTCCTCAGAAGAGGCATACCGGACTAGAAGTTATGCAGGTTTGCCAAATAAAATGATCCAGTTCCATATATCCTTTTCTCCATATACTGCCAGTTCGAAAGTTCTGCTCTCTCCCTCTAGCAAGTCACCGCAGCCTTCTGTCACATTTTCACTTCCATATAAGCATTTTGTGGGTCTGAATGGTTACCAGAATGCCTGATTTAGCTGTGCTAAAATGAAATTTAAATAATACACTTTTAAAATTTGTTTTATGATTATTCAGGATTTGGTGGCACTATGGACTCTGCATCAGGACATAAAGCAGGTCGGCAGGA